AGTTTGAAAAAGATGTTTTTAATTCTTGTATTTTTCCTTTTTGTATGATTAATAACATCATTTGCATGATCTTTTCCTATGTTGCCTGTAATATTCCATTTAAAACTACAGTTTGAGTTCCATGATAGCTTTGCTGAGCTTGCAAAATATAAAGGATGTCACATTCCAGCACTTTATTAGCTGGTTGTACTTACTCCCTCATCAATTTTCTGACTGAAAAAAAACCAAACAAACAAAAATTGCTTTTATTTGCACAACTCAATTTTATTTCAACACATGTAATTATACCTGAATGCCTATGACCATTAATTTTTTAGATGTGTTCAGAGTTCTTCCATAGTAAGTAACAGATGTGATTATGCTATCTGCAAACCCTTTATATTTTTAACTATAAATTTTGTTTTGTAAAATATCCTTAATTGTTTAGTAAACTTTTAGTGAGTTTCTTATTGTAAGTATCTGTGGGTAATCTGAAAGGAAGGGGGTTTTTTTGTTTGGTTGGTTTTTGTTTTTTTGAGTCATGGTCTTGCTATGTAGCCCAGGCCAGCCTAAAACTCAGCGTCTTCCTGCCTCCGCCTCCCTAATGTTAGAATTACAGACTTGTGTGCCACCATATCCAGTTGAAAGGAAGGTGTTTTGTTTTTTAATTAGAGATCTAAGATTGTTTCTCTTTTAACATTTTTCATGGTTGAAGTAGAATATAAACACAGTCATTGAGTTTTGATCAGTTTTAGCTCTAAAATAAATTTAAATACCTGATTGGTAACTAATAGCCTACAATAGAACAAATTTCTATAAGGAATGTTTTTTCTTAATGTTCCAGTATGTGCTGTGTTGAAACTTTTCTACTAATGTAGTTTAGCTAACTTACTACCAAAAAAAAAAAAATGGCAAAAATTGACTTTTTTGGATATTATACTAAGAGATCTGGAAAAAATTCCTCCAGAAGTGCCAAAGCCTTTTATTTATTTCTCTTTATGACAAGTGTAAACTATTAAGGTTAAGTGGGTGGGGCAACCGGAAGTAATTACTAAGGCCAGTGGCATTTTTGTGGTTTAATAAAGGCAGAAGCTAATTATTCAGTTTTTATTTAAGTGAAATGGTGCCAAAAAGGAGGTTCCTGCAGAGCAGCTGCACTCCTTCAGTGTTACCCTAATTTACCAAAGACACAACTGTCACAAACAGAACTTTTAAAACTTGATATATAGCCACAAAAGTAAGGAGGCTTTTGTTTGGAGTGCATGCAGAAGAACTCCTTTATACAAATCAACGGGCAGATGACGGACAATGATGAAAATTTGATTCTTTGAAGTCATAATAGTCATTGAAATGTGTGAAATTCTGGCATTGAAAAGAGAGCAGCCAGCAAGACTTTAAATCCTGGGTGGTTGCAAGAAGCTTGCTGGGAGGTTTTTCTGCATTTTGACACCAACTTCCCATTGCTTGTTCCTTGCTTCCTTTGTTAAAAAAGAAAAAAGTTGAATTCACAGAAGATAAATGGGGACAATTGATAACCAAATCATACAGTTTTTACATGGAAATATAATATTTTATAATGGAAATTGATATTTTAAAGAATAAAAGTACATATGATATATGCTAGCATATACTTTCTGAATGATTTTAAAAATTCCTCTTCATTTTAGCTAAAGTTATACAGGGTCAGGTATCAGTTCTTCCAAAACTGAGAAGAATAGAACTTTGGAATTATGCATCTTTGCAGCAGTAAATTTTTATCAGATGCCGATCCATGAATTATTATTGGCTTATTAATTACCACTTCATAAAATAGCATATTGTACATGAAGTTGTATTTCTGAATCTTTATTAGGATAATAACATTCTTCAATGATAGAAATATAATGTTTGACCCACCTGCTTAAAAATTAAAACTTCAAAATTCAGTAAATCTGTGTATGTTACCTATAGGGTAACACACTTTATTAGAATTTATAATCACTGATTAGTGAGTTTTAAGATTCTTTGGGTGCCAACTTGAAAGTTTATGTATTTAACTTTTTTTGTAATCATAGAAGATTTGCGAATTGTTACTTATAATTTTTTTACAAATGAACAAACGGTAAAAGGCAATATTGACACCCTCAACACATTTCTTTTATAAATATGCTTTTAGGAAAATTACAGGTGGTCCATAATTCAATACAGAAGTAGAAATCTATAGAGAATACCATTAATTCAATATACTTTAAATGATTTGCAGATATTTTATTTATTGTTTGTGCAAGTTGAGTCACAGGTAGCTCAATTGTTAGAGGGAAAGAAAAGCATTGAAGACAGAAATAGAATTCAAAATACTGCCTCATAGTGCTTTTTTGAGTGTTACATTGTTGTATTGGAATCTTGGAGTAGAAGCTTTAGCCTATTGAAATGCCCTTAGAGAACAGGTTCTTCTGTCACTAGCTGAAGCCGTGTGGATAAAATGATAACAATAGAGTGTCCTGGTGCATTTTAAAAGTGTGAGAAATCAGTTTGTCTAGACTGAGAGTATGTCTACAGGACCAGGAATTTTAGAGCTTCTGTACCCTTTAGGTGTCAAATATGTGAGAGATGCCAAGCCTTTTTATTATCTATCTTTGGCAGCAATTCAACTGGGCTGCAGTACCCTACAGGTCTTCTGCAGGAAACAGTGATTCTATGTCAGAAGAACTTAGGCTTCAGAATTTAGAAGCTCATTTGCTTTGATACTATATTTAGATTGGGGGCAGATATGAATAAGTAAGTGCCATGAAAGACTGGTAGTGGTTAGTTCAAAATATAAAGAGCGTAGCACTATTTTATAGCCACTTATTTTAAAGAGACTTCTAAAATTCATTCTATCCTTTTCTACCTATATACAGTAAACATCAACAAATACTATTTCAGTGTTTTCAAAGGTTTACTGGTTTTTAATAAATTTCCATGTATGCATCATAGTGTAGAAGTATAAAAATAAAAAGTAAATATTTCTTATCCAATTTTCCTGAGGGTAACTAGTGTTAAGAATTTAGTGTTTACTTTCATATAGTAAAATTTCCATTTGTTAGGAACTTAGCTCAGAGTGGAGAGGTTACTGTGAAATTTGAAGAAGATGCCCTGGTCATAATTCTTTAGCATTGTAGTGTTTGTTTATACCTTGCTTCAACTATAGTGAGGAAGTGGACATATCAATCTAACAATATGTTCAGATTGCAAATATTATAGTGAATTCAAAGAGGAAAGTAAATATTGAGAATTGCCCCAGGAACTGAGTCACTTCAAGCTCTGTGTATAGGACTATGCTTTAGAAATTTAGTCATTAACATGTAATAATACTTTTTTGTATTTGATGGTGTTGGGGCTCAAACCCAGGGCCTTGTTCATGGTAGGCAAGCACTTGTATCACTGAGGAATACACTTAACCCCTAAAATACAATAATATTTAAATTTTTAGTTGAAGTTGAACCTAGCAATTAAAACTAATTTTTCTGTACCAATTGTATTTATTTTGTTTTTACTTTACAAATGTAAAAAAACAAAACCTAATGTTGGCACAATTAGAAATTCATATTTGTCTAAATATTTATATGGATCATTTAGTTTCTCTAAATAGACACACTGTGATGAGGTGACCATACCTAATTGGTGCAAATGGAAAGATACTGTGTTAAGCAAAGGATTGGTTGCCAACTGAAATGACTTTAAAGAATTGTTTTAATCTTATAGGTAGAGAAATAAATCAACTCAAAAATGCGCCTAGTGTTTCCCGGTACCTATTGCAGCACTAGGTATTTGTTCATGGCATTTGTAGACTAAAACTACAAACAGCCTTAACTTGGAGGTATATGATAATGAAATGAAATTCAAAAAACAGGTTATACTTTCTCATTTTTTATGTTTGGTAAAATCATTTCATGTTAACTCTTGGTTTTAAGGAGTTACTCAAAATTTACTTTAGTAAGTGAATTCTGTGTGTGTGTGTGTGTGTGTGTGTGTTCGGTGCTGGAGATTGAACCCAGGACCTCACACATGCTATGCAAGAGCTCTGCTAATGGGCTATATCACTAGCCCTATTGATTTTAAAATGCTTAATTTGTAAGAATGATGTGGTTATCCTAATATGATTTTACTTTGATAGAATAAAAAGTATTTTACTATTATTAACTAAGAATTTAAACTCTGAATTACTCTATCATTTTGTGTCCTGACTACTCTTATGTTTTGATAAATATATCTAATCTAGGACATCAAAATTCTATGCTTTCTCCAATTGAGCATTTATTACTGGAAAAGGTATAGAAAATTGGAGTTTATTACATTTTTGCAAAAAATTTTCTACTTTTTTGACTTAACCTTTACTTGTCATTATTTCAGTAGCTTTCACTAAAAGGGAATAAAATGAAATAAAAAGGAAATAAAATAAAAGTTGTTATTTGATTTTAATTGTTTGTAAAAAGACTGAATTCCCTTTGAAGAAAATACCTTGTAGTAAGCAGTTTAACAGAAAAACCACTGGTAATAGGGTTTTTCTCTTTTTTTCTATTTAAAATTTAGTTGCTTTTTCTATTCCTTTACTTTTAATAACCCCTCACATTTTTTCTTATTGGATCAGTTGCATTTGCTCACAAATAAGAGTATATTGACTATAGGTTCCTATATCAGGAAACTTCAGGAACGCTGAGTACAGTGCCTGAGCGCTTGCCTGGCATGTAGAAGACTCTGTATTCAACCAATCCCCAGCACCACAATGAGTAGATAAATAAAGAGACATTACCAGTGCTTTGTTTGACAAAAGATGGCTAAATTTTTTATGGCCCCTTTCCCACTGCCCCTTTAATATCACTTCTCAAATATACCATTTACATATATCAAAATAGCAGCTTACATAAAAAAGTCATAGTAGTACAAGAAGCCAGAAAGCATATCCCAATTTATAAACAAATCTGAGTAGAATTGCATGTATATAGAGAATAAAAAGCACTTCGTCTACGTGCTGTTGAAACATGTTGTTTGTTTTTCTTTAGGATATCACTGCATTAACTGGTGTTCCAGAAGAGCATATCAAAACTAGAAAGGCCAGAATCTTTGTTCCTGCTCGCAATAACATGCAGTCTGGAGTAAATAACACAAAGAAATGGAAGATGGAGTTTGATACCAGGGAGCGATGGGAAAATCCTTTGATGGGTTGGGCATCAACGTGAGTACTTTGGTTTAATATTAATGTTGTTTTCAGCTTTTTCTATGTCGATTTTTCTTTTGAAAATACTGATTTTCAAACTCATATATGAGGTACTTAGGACAATACTTTTTGACATTGGTAAGTATCAATACAATTGAAGACATAGGTATATATATTTCTCTATATATACATTTCTTGACTGCACCAGTGCAGTCTGTTTTCAGAAGACTTCCAGATTTCTTTCTGTTCCACAGAGAAGAATCCATCACAGGACTCATGGGTGTAAATGCAGTTTATTAAAAGTTAAGAAAGGGAAATACAAAAGGGAGCATGGTGGGCGCAGGTGGAATCTGCAGGCAGAGAGCACGCTTCTCTTGCCTATATACTTTTAAAACTTATGCTAATCCGTAGAAAGCAAGGAACCAGGTGATTTCCATCCAATAATCAATGAGTGGGGCAAGGCACTGGTGGTTCCCAGCCAGAAGAGGGCAATCACTAAATCAGAGCATATCAATTTGAAATGTGGTATTTTTCTGAGTCCTGAACTTTCCCTAATTTTAGCCTGCCTTATATTTATATGACTATGACTTAACACACTAAATCAGAAATTTATTCTAAATATTATTGATTAGATAAAATGACACTATTATAAGCATTGTTATCATGTGATTCAAGCTATGTTATTAGCTTAAGGGATTATGCGAATGTATCACATTTGAACTTGTTTTAGTTTTTTTGATATCTTTTTGTGCAACATATGGAGTCCTTTTGTAAATCACATGCTTCTAGAGACCTAAGAAATTTATAAGCAAAAACTTTGTCCATACCCTGTGATTGCAATGTTTTGATCATTCTTTTTTAATCACATGAAATTATAAGGGTTCATCTATTGAGAGTTAAAATTCTTTTCAAAAATGTAGTTTTCCAAAGTAAAAAGTATTGATAAAATGATATAACTTCTTTACAGTTGGTTTGTTCAAAGCATTATTTTGATCTTAAATATTGAAAACAAGTAACATTATTTCTCTTTGTTCAGACATTAGGAAACAGTCACTAACAGAAAAATATAATAAGAGAAATATTATGACTAAATACATGTTTGATTATTTTATTTGATTAAAGCAGGGACTATTTGTCATTCTTCCTGATAATAGAATTAAGATTATATTTTATCTTTTCATCTTTAGTATTTTAGTGACACAAAAAGATAGCATGCAATATTATTGCTTGAGCATATTGAATTCTGTCTTCTCATTGTGATGTATTTTAAGCCTTTTTATAAAATTGTTGGAATTAGAAACAAGGTTTCTCATTGTCTACTTCAAAGTTCATCATTTAACTAAGAAATCTGCATCTCAAATTAAGGGTTTGATCATAGTTTGGAGGTTGTCAGTCCACTTGTATTTCACTTTAAAATGGAATACAAAAGCCTGGATAGATATGTCTGTGTAGATTTGCTATTTTGTGTGTGTGTGTGTGTGTGTGTGTGTGTGTGTGTTGCTAGGGATTGAACACAGGGCCTCATGCATGCTAGGCAAATGCTCTACCATTGAGCCACTTCTTCATTTTGCATAATTTTCAGTTTTAATAAGAGAGCTACTTTTTTAATGGGAAAAAGAATGTTAACAACTTAATATAAACTTTTGTTATTGATCAAAGAAGCAATTCTTGAATATGCTAAAAGAGAAATTACTGTCAATCCTATACCTAAAATATGTTTGTTTCCAAAAATGCAAGTCTTCCTTAATATAGGGGATTAGGGCTTGGCTACATTTATTTCTTCTGAAAGATTACCTTTGGTTAGAATCTACCATATGAATGGAAAGCCACAGAGGATTTAACAGACACCTAACCCCAGTGATGTAGGAGTATTACAGAGAGTTAGAAACTTGACAAAACACCTAAAGAGATAATCTTTGCATATCTTTATGGGATTTTTAATAGACTTGCCAAGCAATACACAGATTAAAAAGGACACTTACTTCCTTGAGCAGTGAGCCAATGGTAATATAAAAGGTAATTTTGCAAAGTTGCTGTGAAAATTTTGTGACAGAAATTTGAAATCTCATGTTTTCCAATGGGGGCAGAAGGAAGGTGTCACTATGAAAGTAGGCTTCATAACTACTGAACATTGTTTTGATTTTTTAAAAATATGCTGAATAAATCTTTTTACCTGTTTCTCTGCAGTTTTCTTTTTTAATTTTGAAAATCTACTTTTGTTCACATGTAGGATTTTTAAGATAAATGTGTTTGATCTTTGTTTTTAGATTTCTAAATTCATAATTTCAAATACTACATTTACATTTCTTTTCTCATCTGAAGTAGAAGTTTTCTTTTACTCTTTTAATTACCAGACTTTAAATGTTAGAACTCAAAGGTAAAAGGTTTGTTTATCTATATATAAACATGTAAAATATCATAAGATGCAAAATCATCCCTTAAGTTTGACCCAGGGTTTTTATGTTTGAATCTTCTTGATCTGGTAGTGTTGCGCAGTGTGTACAGATGATTCACCCTCACTTAACGAGCTGGTTTCTCATTATTAATCTCATATATTTCTTGAAAACCCTTTATCTGTTGGGTTGGTAAATTTCCACTTTGTTATTTCTATAAGCAGAACATTAAAATGTTTACATTTTTCTTAATTTATATTACTGTACTTTGGTAATTGAAACTCAACTCTGTCATTCAGCTTCTGGAAACAAGGATTCCATGTCAACATGGAAGGTCATCTAATTTAAGCAGAGGTGTACACTAAATTAGATCTTGCTAATTCTCTCATTGCCTGACTATCCACATGGTATACTTGATCCTCAAGCCATAATAAGTCATCAAAATGGGCATGATTCTTAGACTGGTAGGTAGTCCTTTGGCTTATACGTAGTAAATAGAAATATTGTCTGTACCATCTTTCCCTCTCTGCCAAAGCACTTTAAAATTTGCTTTAATCATGTGACTCAATTTTTTAATTCTTCAATAAATAAGATTTTGCCTATATTTCTTCTTTATTCATTTTGTTGAACAAATAAATATATCTTTATTGTAGATATAAATAATATAGATACATATAGAATAAACCATGAAATCTGCCAGTTACTTCCCTTCCTATCCCCTACCATACTCTGTTGTCCACTTAACCTCTCCACCATAGAATCACTTCTATCCTGCCAATAATTTAGTATGTATCTTTGCAGATACATACTTTTTCAGTGCATTTTATTGCATATATGTGACTTTATATATGCCTTTTGTTAAAATTTGATGATTTTCTTATAATTTTTTCAAATTTCTCATAAAAATTTTCCTATGTATTTCAGTTTTTATTATCTTATATGAGATTTTTCTCATTATGTTTTCTGATTGAAAATAGCCAATAATTAAGATTGGTTTTGCATATAGCCACCATTTGTACTATCTCAGTAGTTTTCCTGACTTAGACTGCAAAGAATTCACTATATCTAGTTGTGTAATTTAAAACTTGTGGCAATTTGTTTTCTCTTCTTATACTTACAACCAATTTCTTTTTTCTTGCCTTATTGCATTGGCTGGACTTTGCAGACAGTGTTGAGTATTTATGATTATACCCACTTTTCTTCAGTGGAAATGTTTCTTATATAACAAAACAGGCAAAGTTTTTTTTTCCCCACCCTGACTTAAAAAAGAAAAAAACAGCAACAATTAGCCAGCCACAGTGCTACTCACCTCAGGAGGCTGAGAAGAAGGATCAGTTGAGGCTAGAAGTTCTAAACCAACTATGCCACAGGTGAGATCCTATCTCTTACCCCTGTAAAATGAACAAACAAACATAAATAATATCAGGAATAGGTGCTGATTTTCATTAAATCCTTCCCAACATTTGTTGAAGGGTGTTTTCTCCTTATTAACATGAAATGAATTTTAATTATGTATTTTCTGATCCAATTAGATATTTTCTAATTGACTATAGATTTAGTTTAACTCTACTGCTTGATTTGATTTTTTTAGAAATTATTTTTTTCCTGTAGTCTTTGTCATATATTGCCGTATTCTGTTTGCAGATAGATGACCTTTTGAAATTTCTGAATGGTGCCTATCAAAGTAATAGCCTTTCAGAGGGCATCAAATAAAAATTCTCAGTGCCAGAAAGTTTTGTAGGTATCTATTATGCAGCCTAGATATATTAGGTACAGTTGAGTGAGTTGATATTTATGATACTGATCTCACACATTTATCTTAAAAATCCTAAATGTAAATGAAAGTAGCCTTTCAAAATAAAAAGTCCTATTTATAGATAACAGTGAACTATATTCAGATTGAGAAACATTTCTAGTACTTCAGAAGTCATCTCTTTCCATTCCCCTTTCCAAAGGTAACAGTTATCCTTCTAATGACATTGATAGATTTTGTCTGTTTTTAAACTTAAAGAGAATCATCCTTTATGAACTCTTCTATGACTTTTTTTGCTTAACTTATTGTTGCAAGACTTAATCCATTCCACTATTCATTGATAAGCAGCATTTCACTAGTTTTCAATTGGAGTTACTACATATAATACTAAAGTTAAAAATCTTGTGCATATCTTTTTTGAATATGTGACTTCCTGATATGCTAATTAACCCCTGAAACATTAGACATCAGTAGGTAATCAAAACAATTTAAATTGAGAAGTATCAGTAATATATTAATTGTTTGATCCCTTCTGGTTCTCAAGTTAATGACAGCAACAAATTACTCGTAGATCACCTTAAACTTGTGGAGGATTGATTTTATGCTTTATTAGAGTGAGTGTTTCAGTTTTACCCTTTGTCTTAGTCCTGGAATATAGTGTTAAACAACAACAACAATAAAACCTTAAAACTCATGTTCTTTCTGAGGTTCTGGTAGAAAGCACAAGATGTTTACCAAGTCCTTATTCCAAACTCATTTTACCCTTTAGCAGACAGCTGCTAAAATCTCTGCTCAGTTCTTTCAGACTCCCCAGCTATGGTTTTAGAGCCTTTCCGATTTATATGCAGTTCAAAAACTCCCTGCTCTGTCTCTTTTCATGATTTCCCCATCAGCCCCCTGCCAAACTTCCTGAATTTCCATCTCCCATAGTCCTAAATTCCATCACTAGTTTCCTCATGCTGATAAGATTATGACTTTCTGTTTGAGTTCTCCGTGCTCCTATGCCTGTTGTCTGGACTGCAGAGTTCTTAGAAGGAAAACTATAAAGGTGGATCTAATCCAGTATGGTCTCTTTTTTTTCTGAAGGTTGAATACACTATATTTTTTCCTGCTTTTGTTCCCTTCGAACACATTTTTTTCTCCTGTTCAAAGTTTATAATTGTTATATATGTAATTGTTAGGCAGGTAAATTTACTGAGATTTAAACCACTCTGTCATTACCTAAATTAGAACCTTAGTTGTTGAGAATTGAGCAAATAAGGTATAAAAATAAAAGTCTTAAGTTATAGTGTAGACTGAAAGAGTGATTATACATAGTGTGAGGAGGGTGGCATATGAAAGACTTCATTGAAAAGGTTGGTATTCAAGGTAAAACATGAGGGATGGAGGGATGGCTAGGATGGAGTTCCATTTGTAGAGACAGTTGGGAGAGTATTCTAAGTGGAAGGAACAATTTGCACTAGTGTGTTTATAGAAACAGGAATCAGATTTGCCTAAGTTGGTTACTTCTAAAGGGAGTAATTAAAAGGAAAGCTGTAAAGTAGATTTTGCCCCTATTATACAAGTGCTTAAATGGGGCGAGAGATTAAAGTTAATTCAGTATACAGTGGAAACTATTTGAAGTGTTTGAGCTGGGCACTGAGTTTGGGACTTAAACTCTAGAAAGATTAATCTGACAACATTACCATATTGAGAATTAGAGTCAAGAAAAGAGACAGAAAGATTGGTTAAGAAGATACTGGTGGCAATATACCTAGAAGGAGCTAAAAAACAGGGGAAATGAAGGAGAATAATGTGGGTAGACACCAAGTAGCTGGAAGAATGGTGGCTTATTGATGTTAATTTTTACAGAAAATAGAGTTCTATTGTCCTGGCTCTTGCTTATTTTCTACAATTTTTTTCACTGTTATTTCTTATTCTCAACTAGGCCAATGTGTCTATCAACACTCACCAAATTACTAGATCTTATATATGTTGGCACTTTTTAGTGTAACTAGTTTAATTGTCAACTGAGATGCATACTTTGAAAAGGACCATCAATATAAAATTTGTTTTCAGTACTAATACAGCCCACCGTGTGACATTCTTTTTCCTACAAGGAGAATTTATGATAGGAATATGATTATAGGGATCACAAAGGAACCCCAGAATAGTAACCATAGTGTATGACCAGAACTTCATCACTGATTTGTGGATCTTAAGTCAAGTGTGTTCTCTTCTGGTTATAACTGGTCTCTTTCACAATCCAAATTACTTCTGAAATCTTCTGTATATTTACTTCCATATTTCTAAACAAGTTTCCAAAGAATATTCACCTCTGAATGATTTAAACATTTGTAGCAAACTATGACATACTTTTTTATAAACATAAAAATCAGTGGTATCTCTGAAATTAGGTGATATTATAAAGTTTTGTGGATTTATGACACTAACACTATCCCAAATTGAAGAATTCAGTCAGATACCAGGTCTTAGAGCTTTGGTTTTTTTGTTTGTTTGTTTGTTTGTTTTTAAAGTGGACCTATGCCCTAAAAGAATATTGTTAATGATGAGATATTTGTTAAGAGTAGGTTTTGTTGCTGTCTATTTTTTTTTTTTTTGGTTTTTTGACTACTGATCGTATGGAAGCTCCTTAAACCCAGCACAATACACTGTGCACTATCAGTTGATTACCATTGCAGTCCATGTGGCTAACTGGGAACTGCAGCTTGTTACTACTGCCCAACATCATAAGAACTATCATACCACATATGGCTAGTCTGGGAAGAGATGAAAATTTAAAACTCTAAAGTTTCTTCTCAATGTATATTACTTTGTACCATTATAAAATCGAAAAACCTCAAGTCAGGCTATCATAAGCTGCAGACCATCTGTACTGGCAATTATACCCATCAGTAATCTTCTTGATACTGAATTTATAAGGTCAGTTTGAGAATCTTCTTGAGTTTTTAAATTCAGCTCTAATACTTGGTTTTTAAAAATTCAGCTCTAATCCTTTTCTCTCTTTTTTTTAAAAGAATTGAATAAAATGATTAAAGAGTAGCTGGATCTCTTTGCAGTTATAAATTTTATTCTTTGATAATATATGTTAGAAAATCTCCCAAATTTAACACAGTATTCAATCAAATTTTAAGGAGAGTGTTATAAATACAATATTCCACCAATAGTGCATTTATTTGATATTATAGTGACTGTTTTCTAAGCATTTTTAAATACTAATTTTTTGCAGCTAAAAGTTAATACTAAATCTTGGAAAAAAATTTTCTTTTTTTCAGGGCTGATCCTTTGTCCAACATGGTTCTAACCTTCAGTACAAAAGAAGATGCAATTGCCTTTGCTGAAAAAAATGGTATGATTGGTTTATTTTTATTGGTTTTTCTTTTCTTTTCTTTCTTTCTTCTTTTTTTTTTTTTTTTGTTCAGTGTGTAAAATGAACCCAGAGCCTCGTGCTTGCTAGGCAGGAACTCTACCATTTTACCATTTCAGCTGGAAGCATCTCCAGCCCTTAAAAGAAAGAAATAAAATAAATCTTTAGTTATTTTTCAGGTAGGATCTTGTGTTTTGCCCATGCCGCCCCTGGCCACAATCTGCCTACTCATGGCCTCCTGATTAGCTGGATTCACAGGGGTATGCCACCATACCCAGCTTATTTGCACAAGTTAGCCTTAGCTGTGATCCTCTGTCTGCCAAATAACTGGGTTACAGGCATGAGCCACCATGCCTGGCTTGAATAAGATGATATCTTAAGTGCATGTTACTAAAAGGCATTACATAAATGTAAAAATTTGTCATTGTTATTTAACACATTTGACATATAAATGTGGAAGCTCAATGAAGGTTATTATTATCTAAAATATTTGCTTTTCTTTCCCATTTAATATTATAAATCTTATGATTGCAAGTCTAAGGACAAGGATTGAGAGTATATAAAATAGTGGTAGAGCACTTGCTTACAGTAAAAAAAGACCCTGGGTTTGATCCCCAGCACCATGCCAGAACACAAGACTACCTCAAAACTACCTGGATTTAAATCCATTGCTGTAATTATGATTTTATCCTTCTGTTTTCCTCCTATATAAAATGGGAATTGCTATGAGAATGAAGCGAGTTAATAAAAAGCAAAAGTGATTAGAATAGGGCCTGGTACATGGTAAGTATATTAGCATATAAATATATCCTATTTTGTTGTTAGTATTAGACTTTAAAAACTTTTCCTAAAAAACATTTCCTAAGTACAATTTCTTACAGAAATTTTTTGGCAAGTTCTAAATTTTTAATTACATAATTATTTTCAAAGTGGTCATATTTTGATTTAAAATAACATTGTCAAAATATTATTTTGATTAAGAATATGTTAACTCAACTGTAACATGTTATCAAAAACAGTTCTATTAATGTTTTCTATCCTTTCAGCCTCCATATTTCATGTCTGACACCTTGAAAATTATTCATTTGAGGTCTGTAACATGAGTTTAATAATAGGAAATCTAATTTAACTGCTAAATCCCTGGTTAGTCTCCTTCTAAGTGGTCATAAGGACTGTATGACTACTGTTGCTATGTGAATTCTAGGTGTGAACTAGCCTGAAATAGGTGGCTTTCTGATTTGATTGCTACCTCTCCAGGAAATAAAATTAAGGAACGTTATCAAAGTCAGTAGAAAGTATAACTTGATAAAGCTTAGAGGACAGTGACTTAGAAAACTGTAGGCTAATAGTAGATCAGGATTTTTAACCTATAATACAGCAGGAACTATGTCTGTCTTGGTCACTGCTTTGTTCCCAACACCTGACATAAAACCTGATGTATAGTGAATACTCAGTATCTGGTGAAATTAAGGACTCTCTAAAATATGCTTCTCTATCCCAAGAACTTAAAACTACTCCGATCTCTAGGGAAATTTCACACTTGAATTCACTGTGATGCTTTTGCCCTGGCATGTTAGCTTTCAGCATTATGTACCTTTAAATAGATAATTCCTCCTTCCTCAGCTATCGTGGAAGGGAAATCTAAATAAAGAGCATTGAAGTGTTACAGAATCATAGAATGAAGGATCTTTTCCAAATTCCCTAGCAATTCCATCCATTCTGATTCACTCCTTTGAGTAGGTAAACAGTGGTGAGGGACACAAAAATGAGCCCTTCTTCCCCCCATATACAACATCATTTTGTTAAAAACTGTTATTGAAGGTTGGGTGAACCAATGTTAGGTAATACAAAGATTTTTAAAAGAATTAAGATTAAGAGGTAGGAAATTAGGATTCTAATTCCATAATTATCTGCCTCACAGGAGAGCTTGAACAAATCATGCTTCATTACACTTAACCTTCAATAAACCTGGTTTTACATCTTTGACATGAGAAATTGGATTGAGTAACACTCAAAACATTATACTTTAAGGATGGTAAGCCCATGGACCAGGTCCATGTGTCTTTATTTCTTACTATGTAACCCAGTGAGTGACCTAGTTATATGTTATAGAGGGGAAAATGTATTTGAGTTGGTGATTCTGTGTTGATAGTAAAATCTGCCAAAGTTTATGTATTCTTGAACTTTAAATTGGATACTTTTCAAACAAAACAAATACAATTTTTGTTATAAAACCAAAAGATAATTTATGTATTCAGGAATATTCTGAAAATAAACAACATACCTTTTTAGTTTTCTCGTTTTCATTTGTTTAAAAGATATAATTTCCCTTAGCATAGAAGGTTGTATTACAGAGAATCAATACAATGAGACATAAGATTTTCAGATCCAGTTACTTTTTAGAAAGCATATTATTGTCTTCTAATTATATTTTGAGACTCGGGTAATAAATATCACAAAGGATAACATTTATAAACAGTAAATCATAATCTTCATTAGGACTCTATGAAGTATGAACAGTTATTCTCATTTTACAGTTCAAGGAAACTGAGGTTTAGAGACATTAACATTCAGCAAACAAGGTCACCTCACTTGATGGTCAAGTTTTATTTGAAAATAGTCATGTTCATTTATGTATTGTCTATGATGGCTTTTCCACTACAGAGGCAGAATTAAGTATTTGTAATAAAGATTGTGTGACCCTCAGAACCTAAAAATAGTTACTACTTGCTGCTTTAGAGAAAATGTTACCCGACTTCTGGTTGTTTATTTGTTCATCTGTGTGGTGCTGGGGATTGAACCCCAGGACCTTTTACTTGTCAGGCAGACCCTGATCCTTTTCTTTTATATCTCCTCCAGTCCTCCATTTCCCTCCCCTACTGAATGAATTCTTTCCTTTTAACCTCTTTAATAATTTGTTCCTTTCTTACAGCTCTTACAGTTTTGTAGTTTACTTTATTTGCATTACAAGCAGAGCACTCTGTTGCATGCTAGTGCTGTATGACTAGGCTCTAGGGATAGTTAAATAAGACATACTCCTCATCTCAAGTTGTAATATTTTATATTGCCCACTGAATTACAAACACCAACCAGTAAAAACACCAAGTCTCATTCATCTTTATCTTTTAATTTGCTCAATAAGTACTAGTGAATTTGAACACCACATTTAATGATGTTGTAAATTATTCTCCAGATTATATTTTAAAGTGATTTTCTATAAATCACTTTAATTTGTTGCTTCTTCTGTCTTCTTGTACAACTGTTAATTCCCTCTAATTAGAAATCTGAAGGAAGAAAACTATTAAAGGATGATTAACAGTTTCTGTGTAAGGGCAAAGGAAATTTTCCTTTTGCCCTCTGAAGGTTTGATGTGAGTCTATGAAATAAACTGACAATAAAATATGAGACTAAAAGAAGGTCTAGGAGGTTGCAGTATTTGTTTCCTAAACCACAGAAAGGATTAAGAGCTTAAGGTTTGCAGGGGAAGGTGGTGCGTGATAGCTTATAGGCAGGTGAGAGGAAATAAATGCATAGCCAACAAAGATTGCCTCATGAGGATAAAGTCTCTCAAATAGCAGCCCTCAGAAAAGTAGGTGATAGGCTGTGCCAGAGTCTCTCTGAGCAAGGTGGACATGATCTTTAGTCTCCTTTTCCCATGACACAAATTAATCTTCTCTAATTGATAGGATTCCAGGAAGAAGTTCCTAAAAATTGTATTCTACTATAGGGACTGCCTTTCATCAGTGTGCTTTATGTTGCTTTGGCCTTTAGTCCACAGTTGCTTAGCCCAGTTGCCTTTGAGCTTGTAGTGTGGCAGAACATCATGGCAGGGAATACGTCCTGTAGGAAAGTGCTTACTTCATGGTGACTGGAATCAGAGAGAGGAAGGAAGGGTTAGGGCAGAAAGACAAGCCCTCAATTACTCAACTTTCTCCAAATAGGCCCCACCACCTAATGGTTCCACCACCTCCCAACAGTGTGCCACAGTTGAAGCTGGCAACCAAGCCTTCAATACATTTAAGACCCAAACCTTAACAGTCAGATAAGGGAAATTCAGAGAGAAGGCCAGTAGCAAAAGAAAGACCAGAAACAGGAGGGTGGGAGAAGGCCAGCGAGCTTGGTTTGGAGAATGCTTTGACTTAAAGAAGCATCCCAAAATGCCATTCTTTGAAGTATCAGTTTCTGAACCCCAATGCTTACATCTTAGCATATTTGTAAAATACAATCAACAAATGTTTTTCTGTCAAGCAGCTTGGAGCTTATCTAGTTTAGGTGAGTACCTTGAAGTATATTGCAGCATACTTTTAAGATAAATCTTTTATAATGTTAGAGTTATTTCTAAACTGTTAACAAAATAAGCTGAAGATCAATGAGATAGCTCCTGAATGAGAGGGTCCAAGTTTTTAGGTTCCAAGTAAAACCAGAGGTTTGGATCCCAGACCCAAACACCTGGGTTTCCACATGTTGAGCCAACCGCTTGCCCTTATGTGCCAAACAAAGAGACATGGTGAAGGGCAGAGAAAGGAGATTTATTACAAGACCTAGGACAGGCCCAAGGAAGAGGCAAAGTAAACATTTCAGCCTGTCTTCGGCTATCTTTGTTGTATAGACATGAGCTTTTGCTCTAAGTAGACAAAGAATTACATTAAGGACAAAAGGTACGCCTAGTTACAGTCCCAATCATAGCTGTGTTCTAGTGGTTGAGTGAGGTTTGGTTGACCATTATCTCAGTTCTTGTTCTTCAAGAGTTCAGGAGAAGTTGTTACTGCTGTCATCACTTGAGGGGAGCAGTCTGGTTCCCAAGACATGATTACTCCTGCTGCAGGTTGAAGCCTCATCATTATAGGTAATTGTCTTCATTTGGAGGGATGGTCTATCCTGCAAGGGCTTTGCTCTTCCTTAGGGATAGTTTTAGTCCCTTGTTGTAAAGATGTTATCGATCTTTCCTCTCCTTCTTTGATTCCAAGGTGGCTGCAGGAGAG